TAAAGCATGTTGTCAGTATCAGAAAAATTGTTGTCATATACGCTCGATATCGTAATTGATCTGCTGTTAGTAGAGATTTTAATTTTCTTTTCGTAGCAGTATCTCGATTTAAGTTTGTCGTAGGTAATCCGTTATCATCGTCATCTTCATAATCATCATCTACTTTGATGCCCACTGTTGATTTATGTGTTCGTGTTTTGATAATCAATGCTGGTAACGTCGTGATTGTAATACCGCTACAAAGTGTGACAAACATACGAAATATTTGTGATGCACGTGACAAACGCGCAAAATCAATCGTTGTCAAACCACAATTATAAACACAGGTACAGCAGACAAACCAAGCATCAACGTAACGTACCACCATGAGTTCATTATTTAATTCTACGAAATAGATAATCATACCACCTAGAAATCCAAATACAATAAAGATGAGTACATGAATGTAAAAATAATGACGCATACGCCATCGATAACTCTTAAATAAATCACGGAATCTTCTCCATAGGCTACGGTTCATCACAACAACTTCAGGAGGATTTGCATTTTCTTTGTCTCTTAATTGACGATCATTATCATAGCTAGTAATACTGTATGCATTGTTTATATTTCCATTTTGAGAAAGGGATGTTTTTTGATGAATTATGTCCATTAGACACGGATGTTTTAAACTTATTTTATAATGATCGTGTTCTATACGTTAGATTTAGTTCATAGTAATATGATCTTTACTCTAAGTGACAAACTCATAATATTTGAAATGGATAATATATTTTGTAACTTACATTATCAATTATTTCTATGTACTCTCCAAAACAAACTTCGAAAGAAATCCGTCAAAAAATTCGATTAACCTTGTCAATTTTTACTGACAAAAGAAAGCAAATTACTAATAAGATGAAAGAAAAGAAATAGTTGTTCCTGGCGATTTTTAGAGCATCAATATAACAAACAAATTAAAAAATCAGAACCATTTGAGTAAGAGATGACGATAGACTTTGCTATGTACAGTTAAATAAGCTCTGATCTTCAGATTTCTGATTCCCGGCGTACGATCGGGTCTGGTTATACTAGCGTCTGTGCTCATATTATTACGGATTGTTCAATCAGAATTGAAAGAGTATGTGTGATGACAATTATACCCCGAGTTACACACTCTTTCCCCTGTTTTACTTAACGAGCGTTAGCCTCTACCACCACGGTAGCTGTTTGAGTAGTGTATACCTATTGGGCATTTGGTAATGATAGGACTGACATGGATGGCATCTATGATGTTATATATAGTGTAATAAATGTTATATATTGAAGAACTATGTGCTTTGCTACTTGTCAGTCTCTATGGTTAAGTCCAGTTGCTTATGTAACTATTTCAAGTTATCAGACATTTTTTCGATCAGAGATTTACATTTGAAGGCTGGCTTCGTTTGATGGCTGTTAGTCAGGGTAAACCTCAAATAGGCCGATGCAGTTGTATATGCTGTGTCTGTCAAGGTTATTTCTAAATATTTGAAACGGGTGACCATATATGAGTTTTAGCTACAATTACCTAGTCGGTGTGACACTGCTCATCAAGCAGACTTTGTATTATTCAGCTTTTGTGTACTACTACCACACTCAACCGATAATAACCTGTACTGACGGTATTCAAAATAATATAAGATCTAATGTATCACTATATCAGGGAAATAATATTTTACTCTCTATTTTGGTCAATGAAGTTTCTCGGTTACCTAATCAATAATGTATCTCTAATAAATTGAGTTAAAAGTTCCACTAAATTTCTTGTTGATGCTACACAATTATTTTATTTTCCACAATTCTTTTTTTAATCTTTTTTAATGTTTAAAAAATTCATGTTGTCCAAACGCTGAGAAAAGTCCTATGCACTTCTTTTGCTAATAATTCGTTCTTGCTCTTTTCTCACCTATTGTTAAATCTCTACTCTAACTTTTCTTTTTTATACTTCGGAGACTGTCAGATTAATCTGCAAAATGTTATCCTAGAAAACATATACTATGGTAGACAGAGGAGCTTTTCCAATGGTTTTCTTTCAAAAGAAGCTCAAAATTAATATAAGTTGATTATTTCAAGTTCGCTTGCTGAAAAGAACCATTAAGAAATTAAAGAATGCTTATATTAACTAGACATCCCGTTCCACCACTATTTCGGAGCCCAAAACTAATAACATACAAATCACCGATCATACCACCGAATGTTTGACTTATAGATATTAGTGTATTACCACTAGCATGCAATGATTTAAATTAGTTTGATTGGAATCAGATGGAACTTTTTGTGAAGACACCAGAAGATGAAAAACTTGGGATTTCCCTTTTTAAATTGACATTGAACTCTGAGTAAGAAACACAGAAGCTGGAAAAAATTTAAAACGTACAATACCTATATATGAATCTGTGGTATCTAGACCTTGATGTTTATTTTCATAGCGAAGCAATCGTTCTTTTGCTGTTATTTTTTGCGTTGAACGTATCTTTCGACAGGAGTAGGGGTTAAGAAGTGTTAGATACTGGACCGTGTCTCACGATGGTGACACTTGTACCGAGATCTTCGCTACAGTATATGATTGAGAAGTTCAAAAAAACGAAATGTATCGGAAATGACTGGTCAGTCGAGCAAATACCATGTTATCAGTCAGTCCAATCTACTAACAAGAGCTACCACCAGATAAAAAAATGTAACTGCTTTAGAAAAAGAACTTATTCATGTCAAGTCTGGTTTCTTTCTTGAAGGTAGATTTTACAGTGTTTTCGTTATTTTAGATTTAAGAATGTTGAGTTTTTTTCAGCTGCTCTTGTTGTATGAAGGTGGTTCTACTACACACTTTCCCATTTTTATGGTTTCGCTTTCGATTCTGCAATTTATTATTGGTTGGTGTGATTATGATTCAATAGTTCGTGGAAATTGTGCACTTATTCGAAACTTGTATTTTGTCCTTCTTGTATGAAATGGCCTAAAATGGTACCGCTGTCTCGACGCATAGATTTATGGTACAAAAAGATCATTATATATACATTTTTCATTTATAATTAACGCCCTTTTACCCGGTTATTTTGTTTGGTTGTGATCTGATACGTTTATGATGTACCGCAATAACTTATAGTCGATCGTATTTATTTAAGCTTCATCGATGGCCAGCCATAAAACTACGTGGTAGATTTGTAATATCATACAGTGTATGATTGCATTGTCTGTTTAGAATGAATTAACTTAATTGATGCCAGCTGATAGAAATGGTTTACTGGAACTTCAAGGACTAGTTGCGTAAAAGAAAAATCTTCGTGCACCAAGCTATTGTCTTTGTCCACCAGCATCTCTAGTATTTGTATAATCAAATATTATGTTTACTTTAGCACATCTAATCTAAGTCTAATTATCTTGATAGATAGAATGTAATATTTTACCCGGACATTACTAAGCCCGAAAGCATTTTATATATCCTACGCGAAAATGCGTTTGATCATAGAATTAGTGTAGTCTCTATTCATGAATGTACAGATCGAATCTCACTTCAATATTAAATACAACGTTCATTGAAAATACGTACCTGTTGAAATTTTGTACGTTGTTAGCAGACACAAATCGTAGATCATAAGACTGACGAGGAAACCGCCCCAGATGCCCAACTCCGATTTCCTTCATTCATACCTCGTTTTATAGAGCACATCGAGCTGGTAAAAAGCCTAAAAGGATTTTAGCGCATGGCTGCTGAAGTCTCGGTTTTTTGCAAAACCAGTTTTTGAGAAATTCTAAAAAATAATCAAAACCTTTCATAATAAGGCATAATTATAGCCCGCACATTTCTGATTAAAATGAGACGTCTCCCAGCTCTACACGACCTTTCTTTACAAAGTTACAGAATTTACAAGAAAAGCCCTAAATGTTCATTGTCAGCTCAAAGCTGTAGCAATAAGAAGAAATTAATTTAGGACTTTTCTTGTAACTTTGTAAAGAAAGGTCGTGTAGAGCTGGGAGACGTCTCATTTTAATCAGAAATGTGCGGGCTATAATTATGCTTCATTATGAAAAGTTTTGATTATTTTTTAGGATTTCTCAAAAACTGGTTTTGCAGAAAACCGAGACTTCAAGAGCCATGCGCTAATCCTTTTAGGCTTTTTACCAGCCCGATGTGCTCTATAAAACGAGGTATGAATGAAGGAAATCGAAGTTGGGCACCTGGGACGGTTCCCTCGTGAGCCATCCCGTGCCTGACTGTATCGTTCTGGAAATTACCTCTTTTATAATTTTGATCCTATTCTTAGGATATCTCCATACCTAATAAAAAGTACTGTTTCATCCACTGATGCATAGACAAAATCTTCAGATACATGGAGTGTAAAGTTCATATTACTGCGCTCATTAGTCGTAGACTAACTTTTCTATCTTCGAGCCACTTTCTTATTTTCGACATAACTTTCAAGAAAATGCTTCATACCGTAGAAGCGACGGTTCGACTTGAAATCTGTGAACGATACTCGTCAATGTTTATAGATTAGCCACACAAAGTTTTATTGACAGGCACTCGATGGGTTCTGACGTAGAGGAATGACAGTTGTGAAACGATTGTGTTTCTAGAAGGAAGTTTCGATTGTGCGAATAGACATGAAATTAGACATCTTTGGTTCCGTTTTTTTTTAGTTGTGGCTGATGCCTCGGATACCCTTTATAGACTTTCAGCAGCATATTATATTCATATGTTTAGTATAATGAGGTGGCCGTATAGATGTTCGACGATGATGGCAATTAGGGGTGACACATTACTATTACTGGTAACAGTAATACAAATATTGTACATATTACTGTTACTGATAATAGGAATAGTGTTCAGTATTACTGTTATGAGTAATAGGAATACATAGAAGATTACTATTACCAGTAACAGTAATATATACCTTTTAGTATTACTTTCCTCGGTAATGTAATACATGAGTAATATTAGGGGGTGGCAGTATTACTATTTAGTAATACTGCCACCCCTAATGGCAATTATTATCAGTATTTATTTTGATCTTTTAACAAGCGATATTTCAAAAGAAGCAGCAACAGTTCATTTTAGTGGAGCGTTAATTGGTCTTGCAGTAGGAATTATTTCATATATGAATGGAAATAGCATGTCACAAAGTCGTCAAACATTTTATTTGTTCGATATGAGAGGAGTCACGATATGTCTTATTTTATGCTGGTATTCGTTTGATATATTTTTCTTTTTTTCTAGAAGCTTATTTGTGCATATTTAAAATAAATAAATGAACGATAACTGACCTATACAGCCTGGTTGCTAGTAAGGAGCTCAGTTACCTTAGAAATTAAGTCTTCTCAAATAAGATATTAACTCAAATAATGTCCTATTATTTGTTCTGAGCATTGTTGTTTCTTCGAATCAGAAAAGGTTTTCATACTGGCATTCCTATGAAGCTTAAAGAAAACTCTGCATCCTTCCCTGATGATTTAGTGTGACAAGTAGAGTCCTGCGGGTTTAGCCCGATTCCGAACCCACGGGTTCGGGATTCCGAAAACCTTTTCTCGGGTTCGGATCTGGTACGGGTTTGCGTTCATGAGAACGGGTCCCGGGTCAGGTTTAATAAATTATCGGGGCGATAAATTAATAATGAAAAAACAGAGACATACATTGAGTTTGATATAGAGGAAAGACAAGAGATAAGTGAAAATAAGTAAAGTAGTAACGAAAAATAGTGAAATAAACAGCATTAGTCATATTATAACACTCATATAGCCCACCAGTTGAAGAATTTTATCATTCTACCTCAACATATTGAGCTAATGCACAACCAAAAGAGGGCATTATTTTACCGGAAAGAAATTTTCGGGTTCGAGCGGGTTTGGAACAGGTTTTGTTTGAAAAGATCGGGTTCGGGATACCGAAAAAGTTCTGGCGGGCTCGGGATGGGTTTCAAATTACGAGACCGGATCGGGTTCGGGTTCGAAAATCCCAAACCCGCAGGACTCTAGTGACAAGGGCCAACGCTGTTAGCTCAAGAATAAAGCTGCGATTAAATTAAAGCGATTAGTTGTAGTTGAACTTTTGTCCGGCAGCTTCGAATCTTCCATTATAGAGTACAAAAGGCATATGAATGTGAAACAATGTGGATGAACAGATTAAAATGCTACATTTGACGTTGCTGTGGTATCGAAAAAGTCAACATTGTCGTGCGGGTTTCACTGCCACTACTAAAACTAAAAGACATTTAAAAAAAGCGAAAGAGGACGAAAGTGACTTGTCTAAAGTGGAAAACCCTTATTTTCTTCGGCAATGCCATCAAAAGTAACATTCAACGAATAGCTAAAAGGTTATACTCATTGTTCAGAAGTGTTGATTGATTGATTTTTATTTTGGTAACAACAAGTGTGTTTTTTAGATACTACAAAAAAACTTTTTTGTTTTGCTTGCCCAAGAAAAAACTGCCTGATACTCTCCTGTTTTTCTCCTGATTTCGAAAAACTGCATTTAGTCACCCTGTCCATGCATCACGTTTTACTCGGACTGTTCTTCGAGAACATGATGCATTTGTCGCAGTACATCGCAATGCTCACGTGTCTAGTATGAATGATAAAATTCTCTAAATATATTAGGCAACATCGAAACGCCTGGACATTAAATACAATACATCCCCAACGCTTTAGGTCGAAATCAACTTACAAATGTAGAGAAATCTATTCATTTTCTACAGACCCTGTGAAGAAAGTGACTTGTCTAAAGTGGAAAACCCATATTTTCATCAGCAATGCCATCAAAAGTAACATTTAACAAATAGCTAAAACGGTTATAGTCATAGTTCAGAAATGTTGCTCTAATTAGCAACTCCAACTGTACAACCCAACAACTAATATTAAGAGACAATAATACTTTGAAGAAAAACTATTGATGTGACGACAAAATTAAATAGTTCCCCACTATCACCCTTAAAGTTCGTAAAATACACATGCTGAGTCATACACTTCTCTAGAAACAACTTTATAGATTTACTCTATTTCTAGTAGATTAAAATGCTAGAATTGACTATTTTTCGTTTAGTTTACTTCAATTCTACTAAAAATATCCTTCCGCTCCTTCGATTTCTTTAGTTTTTACCCGCCATACTAGACCTCTGCACCTTTTTCTTATTTTGGGCAAATTTTTTATCAATCCTTCTTTTAGTCGTTATTATCGGCTAAAAGAAGGCAACGGACCTTTACGCACTGAGAATAGTCAAAAAAATTAGAGACCAACCACATTACTTATTGGTCAAAAGTAGGGCTAGTATAGGCATTTTCACCATTTTTTAGTGAAACACTTTCATGAGCTAGTACCGTCAGATTAGCTTCTATATGTGCAGAGCTACAAAATCACTAGCAGACGAAAACTTTCAAAATGTTAAGCACGTTATCAGAAGAATGTTTAAAAAAAAGGCCGTTTTTTCTGAAAAGTAGGTCTTTATTGTAAACCATTTTTTCCCCATAAAATCATATCAACACAAGGCAACAAAATATGCACTCGACGCGTCTTTTCAGGTTCTATCTGATGAAGTGATTTTGCATTGCGATTATAATACATCTGATGATAGAAAAAAACTGCTCTTAAAGGCGATTTTCGTTGTTTTTCAAAGTTTAAGTACATGCTGTACCATTCTACGGAATTCCAGAACGTAGGATGACATATATCTCGCATGTACTCGACGTGGTCAATTAGAAAAACAGGTTTTTGTCTTTGGCTAAGTACTTTCGAAACAGACAAAAAACCTGTGGTGTTTTCGCTGGAAAAATACTTTTTCGTGAAGGTGCTTCGCCAAAGACAAAAAAACCTGTTTTCCTAATTGGATTAAATAGAAGAAATCGTAAATACGTAGAAAAAACTGTCTTCTCATTAAGGATTTGACCTTTTCCAGTTATTTTCTTTTATATCAAATACCTGAGTGGCTGCACAATTGCGACGTTACCGTAGAAAGAGAATTCTATTTTGATTTAAAGGTGAGTCAAAATAAATACGCACATTCAATAGAAAGGTACACTCATATGTTCTGGACTTCATGCGCTCATGCAAAATAAAAACTAAAAATTACCAGAAGAGTCGCCCGTCAGGACGGTGACGCTAGGACAGAAATGTTCTTCCCTACTGACCCAAGCGAGCTATGTGTACCCACTACGGTCACATTCCCAGTCAACCCTAGCTGGGTTCGAATCCATATGGCACCTACTCCTCCAGTCGCTCCAATAGGAAAGGGATTATCTCCGATGATCCTTGCGGGGCCAGTCAATTGAAACTGAACATAGCCGTAGAGCGATGGCCGAGGCACACCATAGTTATCCACAACTTGAAACATTACGCGTGTAGAGTCAGCACCGTCGGCAAAGAGTATTTCATCATCGACACTCATGGAGAAGCGATCTGTGGAGGTGTTCGAGGAGAACAATCGCGACCCGAGCTTTTGTCCGCTGGCTGCATAAGAATCAATACGTAGGTCAGGCAAAGAAGTATTGGCGTCTATAATAGCAGCAGTAAAGTCAGCAATGAAGGGAGGATAGCTAAGGTTACCGAATAGATCAGTTGAAGGCGAAAGTGTTGCAAAGTGCTTTTCGGCAATGAACAGTTCGAGTTTATCAGCATTTGACCAAATCAGTGCCTGAGAGCCCAGAGTGCTCACTGATTGTGTTCCATTGAAATACCAGTAGAATGCTGGCTCAATTACTATACGTTGCTTGGGATTGATTTGTGCTGCATACATTGCTGCACCTAACTTGGGCACACGGAATTCATTTACCACCCCAGGATACTTCACGCCGTCCGTGCCTGCAGCAGATGGGTAGTCAAATCCACACCATGAAACGACGCCACAATAGCGAGGATCAGCGGCTGCTTGACTATGCACCATTCCGTGTGCTACTGACTGGGCCTGCTGGTCAAAAACAGGATCAAATCTTCGATAGGTCCTCGATGGGCCAGAAATCGCACCAACAGCTTCTGTGAGCACGAAAGGCCACTCAGTTCGTGGCGGTTTCAATCGCGGGAACTTAGTTCCATTTATTAGTTGAGTATAGTAATCATTGAAGGCAAAGACATCTTGTTGAAAATCCGTTATTCCATAGTCTGGGCCTGCAATTGCGCCCGAAGTGTTTCGTGAATCATCAAGAGACTTTGCCATCAGTTGAGTGCGAGTATACAAGTTTTTATTGTTAGGTGTTTCGTTCAATCGTACACCCCAGAGCAAAATGGAAGGGTGATTCCGGTCTCTCAAAACCATCTGTTGCACATCTCTGACGACTAGATCTTGCCATGTGGCATCGCCAATATAACCCCAACCAGGAGCTTCCTCGTATACGAGCAGACCAAGTTCATCACAAGCTTCCAGGAATGCAGTATGCTGTGGATAATGAGAACATCTTACTATGTTGCAGCCTAGTTCTTTAAGAATGATGACATCTCGACGCTGGACGCGGGGTGGCATGGCAGCTCCGACGTATGGAAAGAACTGATGTCGGTTTAAACCGAATAGCTGCAGGCGCTGACCGTTAAGGAAAAACCCCCGCGAGGTGAACTCGGCATGCCGAAAGCCCACGGTGACTTGCTGACTGTGCACAGGAACATCTAAGAAGTAAGCAAGGAATGGGTAATTAAAATAAGAGAATCGGCATAATTAACTTACCTTCGATCCATAACGTTGTTAAAAGAAAATATAGACAAGGACTGTCGGGACTCCACAGCTCGATGTTGCTGAGATTAGATAGAACACCTTTGACATTATTGACTCCTGTGCGATTCAGTGTCGCATTGACACTGGATGCTGACACGATTTGCTGGTAACTGTCATACAGTTGAAAATCAAGGAAGACGCTAACATTGTATGGAACGGTCTCTGCGACATCCACAGAGAACTCTATATCGATCGAACGTGTTGTGGGAACGAGCACATTGCATGGCTTGGCAAATACATCGGAGAGAAATTGTTGCGGCATCACCAATAACTTAACGCTACGATAAAGGCCTGCTGGCTGCCAATAGTCTACTGATGAGCTCTTTTGTCCCGGTCTATTCGGAGGCACGTCAACACTAAAACGCCCATCAAGCAGCACTTCAAGCAAATTGTCCGTGTCGCGTATGAAGTCGGTTACCTCATATTCGAATTGCATGTATCCTCCAAGATATTGAGACAACGGGTGACCATTGAGGGTTGGTGTCGTTGCCGTGAGCGCTCCGTCAAAGTGTAAAAAATATCTATTATCGTGACTATGAGAGGCGGATAGGTCAAAAGTCGTGCGATAAAGCCAACTTGTCTCCCAGCAGCTCGGTTCCCATTTCTGCCATGAGAGGGGGACGACTGTGTGCGGAAGATTAACTATGGTAAAGTTAGCCTCTCTCGAGCAAGTCGAATTGAAGAACTGCCAGTTATCATCTAACGAAATGACGGATGTTGCACTCTGAAGTGATCATAAATCTGATTTAATTCGATGATTGTTTAGAAAAGAACCTCACCTTTAGCAGTCCTTCATTGATTTGAATGATGCAAGAAGTTAGTACAATCAAGAGAAACCATACTACCATGATGTTTTAGATCTCAGCGACGTTAGATGTGGTCGTGAGGTGAAGCAGAAGAAGAAAGAAGAAGGGAGCGCAATCTACCTTGAAAGTCAAACACAACGATAACATCAAACTGTGTCAATGACCTTATCTAATGAGAATAGAGTCTCTTCTTCATTCTTACTTGATGAAAAAGTACGTCCAAGTTATGACCACGCTTTTTTCCTCACACTGTTATATAAGGGTGCTTCTTCCTTCGCACACTTTTGATGTTTATTTTTTTGCTTCTTCATTCTATTAACATTAATAGCCACACTCGCTTATTCAAAACCTTATTCCCTTCATGAATTAATGCACTCAAAAAAGAAACCATGAACGAGAGAATCATCTAGTACAAAAATAGAACAAATGAGCTCCAGTAATGATAACTCAGAATTTAAAACCCTCGGCATGTACTCTTCTCGATTGCAAACATTTGAACACGTTGAGCGATTGTTCAATAATGAGCTTATTTTAGCGTAAACTTTTAATGCTAAAACATGGTATGCACTTTTTTTCTGTTGAGGTGTCAATGCTTCCCTCTTCAGTATTAGAATTTTTGATGACCTTCAGCTAGGCATATTGCGAGAGCGAGCAGCTCGGTGCTCGGTCCTGCTAAGAAAGTCTCCAACTTTTCCTTCTTTTCCCTGCAATTATTGACAGTTCGGTTTTGTTTTCTTCGTGCTATTTTTCCATCCACTTTGTGACTTTCCAGAGCTGGCTGAGAGGTGCACAGAATTCTGGATGGCCAAAAATCAACTTTATCTTGGATGATAGTTCCGATGATTCTTCACTTGAATCTATTTTTTGTTTTCCAAAAACCGCTTATTTTCGAATTTTTAAAAATTATTTACTTACAGCTATGTTTTTCACCTGTTCTTTGTATTTTCTACAGACAGGGCTAGCGATAAGTCCGATTGAAGTTTTATGGGAACAAAACTTGTAGGGCTTTCAGTTTTCTACAATTTTACACGAGTTGCATAATTTTTAGCGCTTTATTCCGCTCGAGAATAATTCTTTTACCACATACTTCAAAATCGGCTTCTCACTTCTTTTATCTTTTTCGATAGGTTTTGTAAACAGACTCGTTGTGTAACAAAGATGAATTTTCTGTGACTACAGCTCTGCTAAAACACACTAAAGCTCATAAAGAGTCTATTTACAAAAGCTGTCGAAAAACACAAAAGAAGTGAGAAAGCCGATCTTGAAGTATGTGATAAAAGAATTACTTTCAAGCGAAAAAAAGTGCTACAAATTATGTAACTCGTGCCAAATTATACCCACGTTGCAAACTAAAATTACATTAATTAGGGAAGACCCATCGTCATATCTTACATAGTACACGAGTCGTAAACGATATTGATCTATTTTTAGAAAAGGTTTTCTTGTAGTTTTTGAGACATATAGCTGTGAATATCGTTGGTTATCGTTTAAAAAAGCAATTCCAATGGTAAAGCAAATGGGAATAATGGTTGAAATAAAATCTAGTAGAAACAACTATTTAGACATACTCAACCTTGGTTTAACCTCGGTTTTTAACAGTCGTATACTAAAATGAGCTAATGTATAAATTGATGATATTCTGCTGTATAACACTCAGCGGGACAGCATTCAGAAAAGAACTGAAATGAAGAATTTAGAAGAAAAGCCCCAGATGTTAATTGTCAGGTCAAAGCTACAGAAATAAGAAGAAATTAATTTAGGGCTTTTCTTGTAAATTCTATAACTTTGCAAAGAAAGGCCGTGTAGAGCTGGGAGATATCTCATTTTAATCAGAATTGTGCAGGCTACAATCAGGTTTTATTACGAAAGGTTTTGGTTATTATATTTTAAAATGTCTAGTAGACATACAAAATAACTGTTAGTTAGTTTCTTTTAGTTAAGAGATCATTCTGACCTCCAGTGTGATCAATATTTGTCTTTATCTGCCAGCCGTCAGTGGAAAAAATTTTGATTCACCTGCAAACTGCAACCTGTGCCGGCAGAGTTTAAGATGCAGGTGATCAGCTCCGGTCCGGAGATCGTAACGAACTACTTAACGGGAGTTCGTAATGGAAAATGAAGACGAAAACTAATAATCCCAGATTATTGCACAATATAACATTACCGCGCGAAATCGACTTTTTATACGAAGAACAGAACCGGTTCAAATTTTTTTTCTGAAGAGCTTATTTTATGAATCGACGGTCAGCAAAGTATTCTTGATTCAAATCACTTTTCGCATTTTAGCGTCACTTAAAACGCGCTACTATTCGCGCCAAAATGCGAAAAGTGATTTGAATCAA